TGTAGAATAGTTCTATTCAAATATTCACAGTTTTTGAGATATCTCGCTTGAAAGGTTTTTCTAGTCGATATTGGTTGCTTACATTTTCTGATACTGACAGGTTATACTAATAGCTACTAAGCCCATTTTTTTATCAGATGTTTAGTAAGGATGACTCTTCCGAATCATGCTCCAAAAACTGGCCTGCGTTATACAGGGTGACCAAAATATCATGTCAAAATTGCCAATTGAAAAATTGAAAAATTTCGAATTTTTTAAATGCAACGCCCTGTATATTTTCATACCATGAGATACTTTCCGAAGCTGTATGTAACATAACGTTGTAGGCTTCCTGTCAAAGGATAATCTGGAAAATTTTCGATTCACATAAGGTTTAATAGAAAAGCGACAGTAATAATTGTGAAATGAATTACTCTAAAGAAAAATCAGTAAATATGGTGTACGCCGTAGGAGAAGCTCATGGTAACTGTTTATTGGCAAGTCGTATTTACCAAGCTAATAATCCAGATTTAGAAGAAGTTAAAAGAACGGCAAATGTAAATTATGAGAAGACAACAAGAACACACGCATGCCGTAATCAGGATAGTCAAACTGACATTTTGGGATGTGCAGTCCAAAATCCATCTACAAGTGTCAGAGAAATTGGTGATGAAATTAGTATTTCCAAAAGTGTGGTTAATAGAACGTTAAAGAAAAACAACTTCCACCCCTATCACTCTGAGCATCACCAATTCTTAACACAGCAAGATTTTCAGAAGCGAGTACAGTTTTGTGAGTGGGCAACTATAAAGCTACAAAATGATTTTTTTTTTCAAAGGTGTTATTTACTGACGAGTCATTCTTTGCCAATACTGGTCGAGATAATCTACATAATTATCACCATAACGCCGATCATAATCCCAGATTAATAATTAATAAAATGTAAACTTTTAATAACAGTTTTTGAAAAAATATGTTTGATTAAGAAAATGAACTTGAATAATATTTTTCAGTGAGACCCCTAGCAACGAAGAAAAGCCAAAACGGATACCAATCTGGGAACAGCGCGAGCCGAAAAACCAAATAAAACAGACGACTTGCCCCGCTTGTATGGAGAGGTACAAGATGCCCCTGCCGACCCCGAAAACCCCAAGCGTCAAGAGATCCAACGTCCTTCCAGAAATGTACGCCAACACTCTGAGGACCAACAGCCAACACAGGATATCCATAATGATCAACAACGCCATGTACAACCTCGAGTCCTACGACCGGAGATATTCCCCTGAGAACGAATATTCAAGGAGAACCAGTCCCAAGCAAGAAGTAGAGGATGAAGCCATGGATAACGTCTACCTGAATCCCGTAGATCTGATGAAGATCAAGCACGAAATCAACAATAAAGAGGCGGAAAAGAAAGTGGAAAAGTTTGTGGATCGATACTCGAACAACGATAACGAATAAACCGTGATGAAACTAAAGCGACAATATTTAATTTTTTTAGTTCGTTAAGCAAATTTTTTCAAAGGTATTAATGAATTATTTTTTATACGTATGTACTATCTATTGTTGCTATAAGGTATCCAGAATTGCATAGGTCCAGATACCTATTGACAGATGTCCCGAAAATAAGAAAAAAGCTCCCATAGATATAGATCGGGAGATGCTTAGCTTCCGGGATACAGAGTATTTGATTTGAAATTCTTGAAAATGATTTTTGAAATATATTCAAAGCGCTAGAAAAACGAATGAAAAATTTACATACTCGATAATTATGAACCATAATTATTCAGAGGATGGTAAAATTGAGAGACCTAAATAAAATTTTTGTCCCATCTTATATGGTGTGACATTTTTTCATGTATTTAAGACCATAACTTCACATTAGATCTTTTACATAGGAAACGTCATCATTTTTTACATGGCAATAATAAAATATGACAAATGTGTAAAAATCTAAATGCTGAAATTCTAATAAGTGAAAAGATGTCACAACATTTTACCTTGTTGTACCCGCCTTTGAATGTTTTTGTTAAATACATATGTGCTTTTCAATTGTTTTTTTACGAGCAGTTTTAAACATGTTCAAAGAACAGCAAATTAACTCTATATTTTGAAAAGTGAATATTTCCCGACTAAGTTTGTGTGTCTTATTTTCAGGAGTTCTATCACCAGGTTAGACTTATGCAGTTCAAACGCCCTGTATATTACAGGCATCTTAAATTTGAGTGAGCTACTTAATATAGTTCAAAATACTGCATAAATTGAGAGATAATCATGTTGTTTAATATAAAGGATGTTTTGGAAACGGGTATCATAAATTAAAATAGAACATAAAAATATTATATTTTTTTCTATAGACTTGCCGTCTTTTACTTTTTGAGATAAAAGTCATCAAAGAATTTGTTTTAAAATAAAATTTTGTCCATAATTTTTCCAAAAAAAGCGCTATACTACGCTGAAATTTGGTACAAGTTAATTTTTAAGAATGTTACAGTAAATATTTCAGTTTTTGACAATCTGGGTAAGATCGTAGCTAAAGCTTAGTGACATTTTGTAACAGATTTTTCAGGTTATGATTTTTTACCATATGTTGTATGTAATAAAGTAAAATATATTGTACATAGAAACGTTAATCTTGCTGAAATCACTGAAAATGCACCGTGTTTTGAAAAAAAAATAATAAGTTACTTTAGTACAATTTTTTATTTAAAAAATTATTTTAATATATTTACTAACATAATTTTTAAAGGAACCCAAATTGTGCTAAGACAACTTAATGTAAATCGATTTATTTTTATCCAAGAAAGGTTCCTCCTGAAGTAACGTCCTTTCTTTTTAGAACACCCTGTATGTAATGGAGTAGAAGTTGATTGATTTTGCGTTTTTCTCATAATCGGTACATTTTCGGCGATATTAACAAGAGTACCTTTTTTGCGTAAAATAAAATTTATATTTTAATATACAACATATAAGTACAATAGAAAACCTCAAGTCAAAAAAGTTATAAAAATTACTGTACAAAGTCGTAGCTAGCGACCTCTAGCAAATAATAAAAAACTAATGGCATTGACATATTTAGCAATTTCAAAGCTATTGTCCATTGTTCTCTCAAAAATCTCAAAACCATAGTCCATAAAAAATATCGTCTTTTTTATGTTCTACTACCCCCTGAATATATAGTACCTTTTTTGAAAACGTCCTGTATATAATAACATAATTTTTTGAAAGTATAACAATTTCTAATGCATCACTATTTTATTTTTTAAACGAATATATATTTTTCCACAAAACTGTTCAAGAGGTAGTGAGAAAACAAAATAAGATTTTATATTTTATTTTTTATAAAAATATACGTTTTTCCATAATATGCAAACGAGTAAAAGTTCTTTCGTCACCTCATAACCATAAAATTAACGCTTAATACTGTCGATGAAATGCAGATCACGTACATTTTCTTTTTTTATTGACATTACCCGGTAGAGAAAGTGGGTAAATCTGAACGTAAATAGCGTAAATTTTCATTTTGTTTACTCGCTTACGGTCATTATTTTAAGTAAGTCCGACTGGCGCGAGATATTTGTAAAAGTATTTGAGATATGTTCGGTTCCTCCTGGGTGGGTTGTTGACCTCTGACACCGGTTAAATTTTGAAGATGTGCTAAACAGTATTCAGAGGCGATTCTTCAGACGTAAGACCCATTACATTGTTGACAATTGAACATGTGAAACATTTCCTTGGCTTTCTGAATCCGGCAGTTCCAGTTTTGGAGTCAGTAAAATGTTGAAAAACAATAGACATGAAAGATATAGGTTATAATTTATATACTTATACAATATATTTTTATTGCACAATAAAACAGTTAGAGTGGAAATTAAGAATAACTTTTCCTTCGTTCTATACATACAATCAAACATTACACGTATTGGAGAATGTATAAACATGTAACGATGAAGTTCCAACACTACTTTTTTGGATTGAAGTTTGAGGTTATGTAAGCTGTGGTTAAGGTTATGTTGAGAATGTTGAGATGACACGAGAACTAGGCGGGAAATTTGAATATCTCACAGATCCCTTTTGTTACAACAATATACTCTACTTCATTTCTTAACTGTTTTTTAGTAGAAAGATATGCACATAGGTATATTACTATATCGACCAGGAACTAAATCTCTTCGTAACTGTTCACGTACCTTCCTAACTGTTCATAGAAAGTACCCCTGTACGTGGTTCCAACTGACCTGCTATTGATAACGCGGCATCGGAACACATAAACCAGGCGTTCGAACACGTCTACTGATGCCTGACGAAGGGCATGGCCTGCCGTTCTTCACCGGCGAGAAAAATATATATAAATTACGAGCAGTACGCCTGGTAAGTATAAATTACGGAGTTGATGAATCGTTGCGGCGATTAAAATATAACAATGATACGGGTGATAAATGGTGCCTTAGCCCGCTCTGCGGCGCGTAAAAATGGACATAATTCGTGACTGGCATTCCTTCTGATCTAGTTCAAGTCATTAGAGCATAACAGAGGAAAAATTACTTTGCTGTCTAGTGTCTACCATAGAACACCGATATATAGAATGCTAAGTACCTTGTATTACCGACCGACCGTGTTCTGCCATCTCTTGTTGACATAAGAACTAAATTAGGCGCTAAATTTAAATTCTACAAAAATTATTTATTTTTTTCTTGTACAAACCGCAAATTTATTAGTATACCTACTGGTAAATAATAAATTTACAGCTGTAAAAGCAATAAATAAAAATTCAAATCCAAAAATTTTTTTCGATTAATTTTATCAAATGAAGCCAAATAATGCTCTTCGATACCACAAATCTGGGTATGCAAAGTATATCTAACCCCACAGACAATATTCTACTGAACTAGCATTGAATTCTACCCCTAATAATCAGTACAACTAGCAACAAATAATTATCCAAAATAAAAAATATATAGTGTGTGACCATAAAACTCGTATTATTTTTATCTCATTTTTTATGTAATGGAAAAATAAAGATCTTGCGTCAATAATAGACTCCCAGAGAAACGACTAACAGGTGTTTCGCATTAGCTAACAAAGAAAAATATCCTATTACGAAATAAAACTAGTGACAATAATTAATCTAAACACGCACGAAGAGTTTTATATACCTACCACGTGATTTAGCAAGACACCAAGACAGATTGTTTAATCCTTTAGTGTGAAATAGAAATATGCATCGCATCAGGAATTTATAAATGCCACTTCAATTTAATTTTATTGGTTTGCACTTCATAAACATGCTAATATCTATAACTAACCAGTTAAATGACTGCAGTATGCGTTGGAAATTGAATTATAAAGTATGGTTTTAACTACTTCAACCGGATGCATTTCCACAGTTTTAAATGTTTTGAAAATGCAATATCGTACTTGATAAATTAAACTGATAAAGAAAAATATATAAATGATTTATTTTCATAGGTAACCAAACATAAAGAAATATTGTGTTTCGAACACAAAAGCCATTTACAAACATTACAAATACGATAATGATTGTATTTGTAACGGTATATATTTTGTTATTTCATTTATATTTTTACTTTTGAACATAGGCAACCGGATATACAAGAGAACTGTATTGTATTGTGCATACAGTAAAAAATATTTACAGGGATCATAGTCATAGAATGAATATACTGCATGAATTGGTAATGTATGATTAGTTTATTTAACTAGTGATCTGATCTCAGATCATGGTTTTCGAAAACCCACTGTGGGCGCTGAAACCCCCTTTTAACAAACTCAATACTAGAGGTGACAATAGCTTTGTTCGTAAACCTTCCACTGCTGCGCTATTGTAGTAATACGTTGTTCGTTTATTGCAGTGTAGCCAAGTGCAGGTATAATCCAGGTGTTCGAAAAGTGTACTGTAATAGTGCAGACACTACTACACTGGCTAACAAGGTGGTGTAAAAGTGTAGTGTAGTATATTTGTGGCGCGAAAATGAATCTTTTATCACAGATGTCACAATATTAGATTTTACTCTGAAATGGCTGATAAATTCGTCTTCCTCACAGTTTCGAACAAGTTCTATAAAATTTGTAATGCACTTTCTTTTATTTTTTTGGAAACAGGTCTCCAATAAAACATGAATTTTTCTTTTTTTACGAAGGTAATCTTCATCATCTGATTCCGATTCGCTTCCAGTCACTAAATAATTCACTCATCACAAATATTTTCTCCATTATTTACAATTAGGTTATGTCAGTTTAAGTTTACCCAAATTGAATTAACGAACAGCCAAATGTTTTCTCGTGGTGCACGTGCACGTGCAAGTGGTGCACAATTATTTTAGTGTAACACTGAATTCCACTACACTACACTACACTACACGTTGTGTAGGTTTACGAACAAAGCTTATATAGAGCTTACACTCTATCATAGAAAATGGAGATACTATTAATCCTTTTTCTATGCACTCTATCTCTATAGTTTATGCTTTGTGTCACTGTCACATAAATCATCAGCAATCATTTTCAAGTAAAAATAGATCTAATAATAGAATATATTTTTATTTCAATAAGCAACGAGTGCAGTTTCTAAAAATATAGTACAAGCACATATCTAACCACAAGTCTCAGACAATTTATATTTATATACATTTGTAATTATATAAAAATCAATTCCTGTGTTTAAGTATTAATAAAACTTGGTTTGTCACATAAAAATAAAATAATGTTCACATTTTGTTTAAATGAATAAAACAATAAAGAAATAACTGCATTATTTATTAATGATTATATATCACATTTAATTAACTAGAAAAAATGTTAAATCCTATCAACCTTGTTCTCTCGCTGTTTTTTTAGTTCTTCATTAACTCCATCTTTATTTCACATTTCACATCACTGCAATTACGACCTTTCACAACGTTCTCCCCCCTTTCTATTTTCGTCGTATGCAAACTAGAGTGTGTTTCATATTTAGATTGAATATCAAACGCTTCTCCACAAAATTCGCACCAATAGACCTTTTTATTGGGATGATGTACCTTCACATGCCTCTGTATCGTCTTGATGATTTTAGATGTCTCGCTGCAGAACTGGCACTTGTATTTGTAACCCGAGTGCAAATCCAAATGCTTCCTCAAGTGGTTCTCCTTCAAGAAAACCTTTTCGCACAATTCACAAGCATGCAACCGGCGCTGCTTTACGAACAAATTCACGCAAACTTTTAGAGACACGTGGGTTTTGTAATTCTTGCGGCACTGGAAGATTTTCTTGCACACTCTACACTTAAACGGTTTTGGCATTTTTGATTTCTCATTTACGTGTGTTGATTTATGTTCGTTTACCTCTTTAAGTGTTTGTAGAATCACATCACATTTGGAACACTTTAATTTAACTCCAAGATTATGTACTTTCTTCTTATGTGTCGTTATTGCGTACTGTGTCAAAAAACGCTTCCCACATACACGGCACTTGAAATTTTTAACGTTTATTTCATGTCTGTGTCTGTAGTGATACTTGAGCACAGTCTTCATCAAATATTTTTTCCCGCAAATGTTACACTGGTGATTCTTGTTAAGGTTTGCATTTGCGTGATGTATCTTATAATGATAATACATCTTTGATCTTCCGATTATAACCTTAAGGCACATGCGACACTCTAGCAACTGATGCATTCGTCTCTTGTGTGCTTTCAATCCTAAATAAGTGGAAAATTCCTGGCACAAATTACATCTAACCGTCGTTTCTCCATGCTGGTCCATGTGGCTGAAAAGAGTCTGCTTTGATTTATACAAGGCAGGGCAAAACTTGCACTGGAACGATTTTAATTTTGCCGCTTCTCTCAGCTCCTGTTCGGTGTAAGACAGATGCCAACGCCTATGCTCCATAAAGAACCGCAAACTATTCGTTTCTTCACCACACAGGTTACAAATATAACTCATGAATAACTTTTTCTTTCTTGGAAGGTGATCGATATGAAGCTGTTTGTGTATACTGTAAGCGAGCTTATTATAGAACACTGTAAAGCAGAAAGGGCAATTTTTTTTAAAAATGGTATATGGGTGAGCACCTATACGATGAGCGTTGAAGTCAGCCTTATTATGAAATTTATCATTACAAAGGGTACAGTCTAGAGTTCTACCTCGATCGTGCATTCTCCTCTTGTGTCTCTTTAAACTAGAGGATGTTGTATAAGCGCCATTACAAATCTGTAACACATACATATGTAGATCAGTTAACTTTAAAAAAACATTTTGTAAACACAATACCTCACAAACATATTTTCTTTCCTTAGTGTGGGTGACACGGTGATCCTTCAAAGCTCCTAACTGCTTGAACCCCTCGCCACAAACTTCACACTTGTGGGGTCTCTCATTCGTATGGACTCTAAGGTGGATGGTATGTTGCTTTCTAGTGTTGAAACTTTTAAGACAATATGAGCAATTATATACGACTTTCTTATCGTCGTTTATTTTATGCTTTATATGATAATTTATGTGCTCCCTTAACTCCTTTCTACAAGAAAACAACTGGTCACAAAGAGGGCAAGTCATGTTGTCGTCGTGAACAGTTGAGTGGATATCCAAGTACTCCAACTTTCTGTACTTGTTTGAGCACTGGTTACACCGGAATAACTTTGGTATATCCCTGGGTTTTAATTTTAAACTTATATCCGAAAATGATTTTATGTCAACATAATCGGGAATGTCCCTCTCTTCTTTAATGAAGGGTTTTTCCAGTAAAGCTTCAATTTTACTATCCTGTTCTGTCTTAAGGTTACTATCGTCCATTTTCGTTAAATATACAACTTTTTTAAGTTATTCTGGTAAATGTATTCTCATTTATGAATAAATGATAGATGTAGATACAAAATACAAATTAAAAATTAGTGATGGGAGATTTCGAGTGAAATATCGAGTGGTACTCGATTATTGAGATCACTCGAGATATCTCGAGATGTTTACTCCCACCACTCGAGTGATTATTACCCTACGGTTGCACCCCAAGCAAATAGTCACTGATTGCGTAAGCTTTTTTTTAGAATAAAACGAAAAAGTGGTTAGATTTTGAAGTGCGTGAGCTTTTTTTTTTTTTTTAGCTACGCTCATAAGTAATATATGACTAATACAAACATATTTGTGCGCCGCTGGGATGAAAAAGAACCAATATCTCGTATCTCGAGTGATCACTCGATTATTAGAAGTACTCGATTGCCGATAACTCGATTATCAAAATTGGTCGATTATGCCCATCACTATTAAAAATAATCTCAAATATTTTGACAAAATCTGCGTTTGACAGTTTGACAAGATCCATAGAATATTTAGTTTACAGATGTTGTACTTTGTTATGCACTAAGATCAGTTCCCAACAGTCAGACGGAATTACACTTGACTCGAAACAAAGAATTTTGAACTTATAGTGATCTAAACATATTATTTTGTCCCTCTCCCTCTAAAACCATAAGAATAACAAGGACAAAGTATTAATCTTGAGCATCCTGAGGGCCGGCTTTTCAATCTCTGGTTAACTAATTATTACTTTTTGTATTGTATTGTGGAGATGTCAAGAATGAATGGAGGAATAGTCAACTAATGTGAACCGTACTGAAGCCGTTCTCTGTTGGAACCAAACCCACCTTAAGAGTTACTCCGTGTTGCTAATAGTTATTATTTTAAGAGGGTCGAAAGTAGTTTCCAACCCTACAGAAAAATAAAAAATACTGCAAAAGTTAACCTAAAAAATTAGTATTAATATTATTATTATATTGATAAACTCGAAAAGAAAATGTAAAATAACTTATTTATGAAGTTAAGTATTCCAAAATTACAATAATCTTGAAAATGTTTGTGAAAACTATTTGCTGTATTCTAAGAAATTCAAGAGCAGAACTGATTTTCCAACGAACATTAAGTTCTGCTCCTGACCCAGTTCCTAGCACCCAGTTAAAAGAATTGTCTGATTATTCTACAAGACTACTGAAAGTAGCTATCATTGGGACTCCAAACGCTGGCAAAAGTACATTTATAAACAGTTTAATGGATAGGAAGGTAATGTATGACTGCAACGTAAGTTTTTATCTAAATATGTATGTTTAGGTCTGTGCTACATCATCTAAAGTTCATACGACACGAGGCAAAGCCATGGCTGTTTTTACAGTTGACGATGCACAAATTGTATTCATCGACACCCCTGGATTAGTTAACGATAAAGAGAAAAAGAAGTATAATTTGGAAAAGTCTTTTTTGAAAGATAGTCGAAGTGTCTTGCATCAAGCCGATGCAGTTGGAGTTATACATGATGTTTCGAATGTCTGGACGAGGGAAAGGCTAGACATAAAAATAATAAAATTGTTATTTATGAACCCAAATGTACCCAGTTTTCTAGTCATGAATAAAGTAAGTTTTATGGTAAAATAAAACAACTTCTCTTACAGTCTAATGTTTTTAGATTGATATTCTAAAATCGAAACGAAAATTGTTAGATTTGACCAGACAGTTAACTGAAAATTGTTTAAATGGTAAACTGATTCCGGGATCTTCTAAAATAAAAAAAGAAACAAATGATGCGAGCAAAGGATGGCCAAATTTTCAAGATATATTTATGGTCTCCGCCTTAACAGGTGTCTCAAATTGGCACAAAACTGTAATTTGGAAATTTAAAGAAACTCTTTTTAGGTAATGGGATGTCCGAGATCAAAAATTATCTTATAAAGCAAGCGAAGCCAGGTAAATGGATGTTTCCCGAACAAGTTTGGACAGATCAGGATGCGGAACAGGTAATCACTAAAGCAGTACAGGCCAAACTACTGGATTTTCTGCCACAAGAAATACCTTATCATTTGAAACCAGAAATAGAATATTTCGATATAAACAAAGATGGTAATAAATAGTTAAATATTATAGTATCGAAATACAATATAGATTTTTTCAGGAGCAATTTGCACCGCTGTTGCGATTATCTGTCCTACAGAAAGAATAGCCAGGCTAGTAGCTGGCGCTTCGGACGGAAAATTGAAACAGATCACAGAAAGCCTTCAGGGCGACCTTCAAAATGCATTTCAGAATCATGTTCGGCTCAAACTTATCCTAAAATCATCTAAGTCGTAATGTAATGTAAATTGATATACGTATAAGGGAAAAATATAATTTTATTACTTACCTAAATGCCTTATTTTTTTTATTAAATATCATTTTATCTAAGACCTTTTAAAGTAAGTTCAAATTTACAGCATTACCCATAATGATAAGAATGTTTTTAAAAGGTATCTACTGATTTTTATAATTGGTGCAATTTGACCTACTGTTTTAGTTCGAACGCAGTTTGGGTAAAAATCGGCCTATGGGGTTTGCGTCATTACTCATTAGTTACAATTGTCCGAAGCTAATTTCATTTCAGTGCTAAGTTGGCCGCCATGGAAAAGTGACACTTGTGACGCAAACACAGCGACAAAAGAAAATAAACAAATAAATTGATTTAACCGTGTCAAATTAATAAAACCCACTTAATAGCGACTCAGCATCAACGGTCACAAGTTTGCGTCGCGCAGAGTGCTTACGTCGCGATATTCGAGATCATGGAAATGTCTAGTTAGCGTGAAATAAATCCAGAGAAGATGATTGACAGATAATTATAAGGTACAAGTGAACATGTCTGGACACGCAGTGGTTGTGTGGGAGTATGAAATCCGGACGGGGTACTGGAAGCCTTACAGTCCTGCGGTGAGCCAGCACCTGGAAAGGGCTAATGCCAAACAATTAACTCGAGTGATCCTTTCGGATGCTGATCCTTCTCTGCAGAATTACTATGTAAATTTGAGAACCCTCACGCAGGAATTAGAAGATTCTGGTAATTTATTTTAATGTACTTTTCTTCTTTAGGCGTTAAAAAGTGTGTTTGCCAAGTAGGTCATAATATATGGATTTTATGTATAGATATAATTGTTCCCGTAAGAAGAAAATGTTACCCACCATCCTCGCCTGCTGGTAAAGGTGCAAAATGGGAGTGCGCGGGGTCAGAGCACGGCCAAGACTGGCATCCATTCGACATGGATATACAATGCTTGATAGAAGAAGCGTGGGCGAGGGTAACACGATTCATTTACGCCTGTTAAGAATTTGTTTTAATATAAATTTTTTACGATTCAGGGAGATCAGATGTTGGACATGAGCAAGACACATTTGGGTTTTCCGTATTTGATAAATTTTAGTAATTTGACTCAGAGGTGGTTGACAAATGGATACGTAAGAAGTGTTAGACGGATAAAACAGGCCCCCTATCCGTTGGTGAAGGTCCGGCTTGAAGAATTAGCTCCGGTAACAGGTAATTAAATCCAAGTAACGTTATAAATTTTTCCGATACATTGCGTCTCGTCTGTTTCTAGATGAATTCCAAGTGTAAACTACTTTAGAAAATTATACTACTTCAATCACGGAGAGAATAAAAAGACCTGCGTTCGCTTCTATGGTCTATTTTTTAATCCTTTTATATTATAATATCGTAGGGCCAGCAACAAGGCCCTTCCAAGTATCTTAAACCTAAACAAAACATTAGCCGAGCGTTAACATAAACACATATATCATTTACTAATAAACCTCGCAGGGCGATCTTCTGCAAAGGGTACATGGAGTCCTAATTCACAGAATGGTTACAGTAAACACATAATATCATTTACTAATAAACCTCACAGGGCGATCTTCTGCAAAGGGTACATGGAGTCCTAATCCACAGAGTGGTTACAGTCGGCCCACTGTGATCGTTTACACAAGTAATCACTGATAAGCACAATCCAACATTCCATATCATTATTTCATTAAATGGAAAATACCCTCTTAATATATTCTTCCCCCTATTTATTTGCTTACTCAAATTTAAATATATGACTGTAACAACAGTGCCTTTTCCCTTCCCACGATGACATCACTGTTTGTTGTTTCAGCAAACCAATTTTGGCCTCAATTCTAATCTGTTTGTTTTTGTGTTTATGTGTATCTATTCTAAGACACTTGTACAAACACTGGGTACAAATCTATTTAAAAATCAGCCTTGTATTTCTAGAAAGAGCTCTTCTAGATGCTGTAAATATATACCCTTTTCAAATTTATTTGTAATGAACTTTTATGTACAGAATGTTAGAAAAAAAGTAGATCAAGCCAGTAAATTGAAACAGAATGTAAAAATTATAATTTAAAAAAGGTTTTTCTTAATAACCCTGTTGTATTTTTAAACTATTTGGTTCAAATTTTGCAAGGGCTTGCTTCCTATATCAGCAAATTTTTTGTATAATTTTAGTAAATAAAATGGAATTACGAATGGAGTATAGGGGAGTTGTACTATCCATTGTCCCCTACTTCTCTTTGCATATGTCTATCATTCAAATGTATTGTGTTTTGGATCAACCGTTTCTTGTACTTTTTGTTTACTCTTGTAAAATTGTGATTTGGGCTGTGTTGATATACAACTTCCTCGAATATGTGATATCAACCCTTTTACTTCTGTTTATACGACGAATTCAATTTTACAAAAGTATCCTTGAGTGATATTGACTCGGAAGATTGTTTGAACATTTTTGTAACATATTTGTCTTTGGTGCACAAATCTAAACACAATTTTTTAAAACGACATGCCGCATAATTCCAACAATTTTCATTCTATGCACTCCATCATATCTTGACCATATCTTTAAAGAGAAATACGTACAGAATTTTTAATAAGTTGATTTTAACATTATTGATAAAAAATTGTCCCTTTTTATATTAGTCCAGCAATTGAAGGTAAAATACGGCGTTACAGTATAATTTTCCCAAACAGCACCGATTTGCATCAAAATTTGGATTTAGTTTCTACTTACCCGCTACTTCAAAGTTGACCCTGTGCTGGCGGTTGCTTTTTATTTTTTAAAGGTGAAAACTACCCCTATTCGAAAATAATTATAGAATTATTGTAGATTCGAGCGTGTAATAGGTTGAAATCATCTTTAAATAAGTAATTATGATGAATTGAAAATAGTCAATCCCTAAAAACTACTCCCTATGACAGTAATGTTGAAAAATATTATTCAGCAACTTGGAATAATTTAATCATAATATATATTAAATTAAGATTTCTTTACTGTTTTAATTTTTTATTATTTATTTATAAGTTTCAACCCTTATAAAAACCACCCCTTGCAAAAATAATCGAACATTATAGTTAAAAAAAATTTTTAGTTCAAAATATAATACAATCTTTTTATTATTTAAGATGTAATGTATTTATTTTATCAAACTTTAAAAAAAACCTCTACTGATTAAAATTTTCAATAAAAAAATAGGGAAAATAAGAATTTTATTTTTATATGGATTTTAATTTTTTTATTTTTATATCAAACATTTTTTTTATTGCAAATAACACATAAATAATCAAACATCCTCTTCATTCTCATCTTCTTTTTCTATTCTATTCTGAAAATTCCTATTTCTATTCCTAAAATATGGCTTTGTTCTGATATCTGCAAAAATATGTGATTAGTTTTTTACCCATAACTCGCTTAGTTTTTGTGGTATCAAGTCCTTCAAAAAACCATTTTGAAGGTTTTTTCAAGGGCTATAAGATCACATAAGTTAAAATTTCTTTCAGTCCTTATTTTTGTAAGGGTTTGAGCTGAAAGGGCTTGAACAAGTTACTATTTACGAATATATGCAAACTTTACACGGCCATATATCTTACTTAATTTTTATCCTTCAAAATAAAAATTCAAAAAAATAAAACCTACAATTTTGTACTCTACAAAATTTTGCGTATCATTAATAGTTTTTGAGTTATTTTGAAGAAAAGACAATTTTTTACAAAAATACAAAAATTCTCTTTGCACTTCAAGCTCAACTTTTTTCAAAACTAAACACTTTAAACCAGTCAAACTTCTAGAACATATTACAAATACATAAATAAAGTAAATTGTAAAGTGGTAACGATTATTTTCAATTGGGGTGGTAATTAGGGGGTGATTTTCACGTTTTTTGTCGCCCAAAAAAATACGGACCAACTTCATTTTCATCATAACTCGCTTAGATTTGATGCTAAGGACTTTTATAAAAAATAAAATAAAGGGTTTTTCAAGCACTTTAAAAAAGGTTCTACGAGTATTCTCTGAAAAATGCATTGGTTTTTTGTTATTTCACGTTCAAACTTTCAATTTTGGCTTTGATGAATAAGAACCAACCTTCAAGCTATTTACTCTCCTTGTATTGACACCATACAGACACCATAAACACACCATTCTTTCCATTTTTTTAAGTTATATTTTTTATAAGAATGATTTTTTTGATAAACTACTTACTTTTTGTTATTCGCGAAAAACTTTCTGAAAAAGTGTTTTTTTTTTGGTTAAAAAATTTACAGTTTCACTCGCGAATAAGTCGAAAAGTATTGAGAAAAGACTTTATAGAACAAAAGCTGCTTAGAATTAGTTAATATATCCATTCCCGGAGTTATTTTCAATAAAACATTTTTCACCCCCGAGAAAGGGTGGCATCCACCCCCAGGGTAAAAGCAACCCCCGGTACAAGGTCAACTTTGAAATAGAGGGTAAGTAGAACCTAAATTCAAATTTTTATGAAAATCGGCGCTGTTTGGCAAAATTATACGGAAAATGGTCATTGACCGGACTATATAAAAAAATTTAACTTTTTACTTCAAATGATCGCCAATCACACAAAAATTACTGTTTACTCATGTAGATTAAGAGAAAATTTTTAGTTTCATTATTTTCACCCAGAGCATCTACGTTTAACGGCGTAATGTACTTTTTTGTAACACTTTGTATGTAACGCCTACTACAATTTTTTTTCTATTTGAAAGGCATTGATTGAAAAATTACAGTTGGCACTGGAAATGCTTAAAATTGTGGAAATAACGTAAAAACTTCTATTATACGCTTGCACGTCTTTTATTTGTTGAAGGGCGAAGGGGATCGGACATAAGGAAATCTTGCCGCAACGCAAACGCCCCGCAGCAGCCCCAACAAACGAAAGTCATTGGTAGTAGCGCAGCATTAAACCAAACCGATAGCAATAAGAAAAGTAGCAATAAGAAGAAAACTAATAACAAAGCGAAAAACGGGAATGAAACTACTCCGGCAAATCTGGCACGGCAGATCTTGAATAATCTGAATATATTCAGTAAGTCTTTGAAGTTTATCAAGTTCGTTATTTTAATTTCTGTTTATTTCGTAATGCTTTTAGGTCACAAGTCTACTTCGAATAACGTACCGTCTCAAACGAGCGAGAACAAGACTTTATTGGACGCCGACAGTAGCAGCACGAAGTCGGGCCGTAGACCGAGTCTCGATACCGTTTCCACGTACCTCAGCCAAGAGAGCAGAGAGAGCCAGGCCACCACTTCCACGGCCGATCTCATCAACTGCAGCGGGAGCGATGATGGCGTAGTAGAAGACCTGCCCTCTATAATCGGTATAAGATTAATCAAATTATTTTCCGAAAATTCTAATGTATTGGACTTAATTTTTTTTAGGATTGGACCCGGCCAGCGCTTCGATCTCTCGATTCGTCCGTATCTCGAAACCAAGCGAATGGGCCCCCAGGCAGCCTTGTCCGGTATGTCGCCAGCCCCTGAAACCCTCCATCGTCGTCATAGCCCTGCCGTGCAATCACGTGCTGCACTTGGACTGTCTCAATTATGCCCTGACGGAGCTGCAGGAGAGCAGCCTGCATTTACATATTCAGTGTGCTGTGTGCGGCTGTATTTACGGAGAGAAGCATGGGAATCAACCGCCGGGCAGTATGGAATGGGGGATCATCGACAAGAGTCTGCCGGGGCATCAGAATTGCAGGACAATTCAGATCGTTTATAAGTAAGTTTTCTGAAATTTTTGTTATTATTTACAGGTCATTACTTTTTTAAATTTTAATTTGTTTGCCCCCAAAACAATACAAAATTTTAATTTTGGGGGCGATGTTAAAATTATAAAGAAATTTTGTATGCAATTTACCGCCAAGAAAATATTTCTTAGAGAAGATATATTTTTTTTCTTTAATTTAGCCTAGTAATTGCAGGACGATTCCAATAATTTATGAGAAGGTTTTCCATGGTTTATCAATGTTTTTATAATGTTATATATTTCAAGTCGAAATAAGAGGTTTAAACATGAATAGAGAATATTTTTAGCAAATTTTCCTTGTCACCAAAAATAATACAAAATTTTTATTTTGGGGGCGATGTTAATAACTGGTATTTTGTATGCAATTTTCTACCAAACACTAATCAGGATTCACATCATGTTAAGTTTTCCACAGTTTGTTAATATTTATGGCACTATTTTTTTTAATTTGTCCTCAAGCCTCTAATATGTAGCATGGTAATTGCAGGACGATTTAGATTGTTAATAGATAAGTTAATTCAGATTGTTTGTATGTAAATAAGATTTCCACGATTTGTTGATTTTCTTATTTCTGTCTTTATTTTGTTGACCCACAAAAATACATTTGTAACTTAAAAAAATTATAAATAGTATTAATGTTATGTTTTTGAAATTGCTAAAAAACTCATTCTTAACTTAAAGAATCTTTTCAAACACCTTGTCATAGATCTTTACTTTTTTAAATTCATTTGCCCCCAAAAATTTTAATTTGTAGTGCACTAATTGCAAGACAATTTAGATCATTTATAAATAAGATTTTTCAGATTGTTTATAAGTAAATTTTCCACAATTTGTAGCTTAATTTTTCCACGATGTGTTGATTGTTGTTATAGAGGTAATCATTTCTGTCTTTATTTTGTTGACCCCCAAAAATAAATATGTAACTTAAAAGAATTATAAATTGTATTAATGTTTTTGAAATTGCTAAAAGATTCATTCTCAGCTTAAAGAATCTTTTCAAACACCTTGTCATAGATACTTGCTTTTTTAAAATTCATTTGCCCCCAAAAATTTTAATTTGTAGTGCACTAATTGCAAGACAATTTAGATCATTTATAAATAAGATTTTTCAGATTGTTTATAAGTAAATTTTCCACAATTTGTAGCTTAATTTTTCCACGATGTGTTGATTGTTGTTATAGAGGTAATCATTTCTGTCTTTATTTTGTTGACCCCCAAAAATAAATATGTAACTTAAAAGAATTATAAATTGTATTAATGTTTTTGAAATTGCTAAAAGATTCATTCTCAGCTTAAAGAATCTTTTCAAACACCTTGTCATAGATACTTGCTTTTTTAAAATTCATTTGCCCCCAAAAATTTTAATTTGTAGTGCACTAATTGCAAGACAATTTAGATCATTTATAAATAAGATTTTTTAGATTGTTTATAAGTAAATTTTCCACAATTTGTAGCTTAATTTTTCCACGATTTGTTGATTGTTGTTATGGAGGTCATCATTTCTGTTTTTATTTTGTTGCCCCCCAAAAATAGATATGTAACTAAAAAAAATTATAAATTGTAATGTTATGTTTTTGAAATTGCTAAGACTCATTCTCAACTTAAAGAATCTTTTCAAACACCTTGTCATAGATACTTCCTTTTTCTAAATTAATTTGCCCCCAAAAATTTTAATTTGTAGTGCACTAGTTGCAAGACAATTTAGATCTATGTAAATAAGATTTTTCAGATTGTTTATAAGTAAATTTTCCACAATTTGTAGCTCAATATTTTTTCTCTATTTTGTTTGCCCTCAACAATTTTAATATGTTAAAAAAGTTTAAAAAAAATTAAAATGGTGTTTGTTTTTGAAGTTGATGAATGATTTATCTATAACATATATAATTTTTACAAACATTTTATCCCCAACAACAATACAAAATATCGATTTTGGGGGCAAAGTTATAATTATTTGAAATTATTGTTTTTTTCCTCAGTATCCACTCTGGTATTCAAGGCCCAGAACACCCCAATCCCGGCAGGGAATTCTACGCCGTGGGCTTTCCCCGGATAGCCTACCTGCCGGACAGCCCAAAAGGCCGAAAGATCTTGCGCCTGCTTGGCGTAGCCTGGCAGCGTAAGTTAATATTCACGGTGAGTAGGTCCCACACGACGGGCTGCGAAGACGTGGTGTCCTGGAATATACCTCACAAGACCGAGGTCGGGCCCAGCAATAACGGACACAGTTATCCAGATTCCGGGTATCTGAACAGAGTTTTAAGGGAACTGGAGGCATTGGGGGTCGTCGAAGAGCAGCCTGCGAATCCAAGATAAGAATTAGTGCAATTTTTAATATTACATAGGTTTGATATTGTGTAGAAGGGGGGCGATGCAAATCTTGTGGAAATTTTTGGGGCTGGTAAAAGCAATTTTTAGGTTGAGCGAGGACAGTTTTTGGGGCAAGTTGGGATGTTTATTAAAAGATTAATGAAGAGTATATGTACAAAGTAAGGAAGTGTGTATAATGAGTAAGAAATAGGGTTTAATGTTGTCTTTCCATTTTATAATGACGTAAGTGATATAAATAATATATTTTGTGCCAAATACTATTAAAAAGACAAAGGCAGGTGGGAAAAAGTTTTTTTTTAAATAAGATTATACTAAAGAAAAGTATTTTGGTCTAATACAGGGGTTGTTTTTTATACTTGGTTTTCGAAATATTCTCCATGACATTCAATACATTTTTGCATATGTTTGAACCAATTTTCGAAGCCCTTTTCCCATTCCGATTGAGGAGCTCCAAAACATGCATTTTGAATGCATCAACCGCTTGTTCAGGCGTTGATAAACGTTGATCTCGCAACTTATTTTTGATGTGTGGAATAAAAAAAAAGTCATTGGATGCCAAATCAGGGTTGCATGGTGGATGACTCTTCAATTTGATGCTTTCAGTTCTCAAAAAGTCTCTTGTTTGAGCCGATGTGTGAGTGCTCGGTTCCATTTATTTCTCCAAAGACTTCTGGCAAACAAATAGTTGTGTACCACTCAGAATTGTTTGTCAGATGTACTAACAGTTTCGTAAACCACCGATATACAGGGTGTCCCGAAATTAATGCAACAAAATTTGGTCATAGATTCTTAAGACAAATTTAGAGGACCCGTATTTTTCCTTTTTGCCAAGTGTCCCCCTTTTTTGGAGTTACAGCCTCCTGAAATCCGCCCCTAAGAATAATATTTTTTTTATATCAGAACCCTGTTGTTTCGGAGTTACAGCCTACTGAAATCCGCCCCTAAGAATAATCTTTTTTTTTTAATATCAGAACCCTGTTGCACGAGAATCACTAAATTTGGTATTTATGACATGTGGGATCTGATGGTGCTACGCTTTTTGGCGGGGAACCCCCTTAAGACAGTTTTTCGTGGGCCCCCTTGTCTTTGGAGCCAAAAAAATTTGTCGCATATTTAAATTTCTTAAAAATTATTAATCCGCTAAAAAGCCATTAAATTTTGAAACTTTTTTGTCTCTTGCCTTGACTTTTTTCGTAAAATGCAATGTTTTCGAGAAAAATGTCAAAATGTGATCGAATGCGTATCGTGATTCGCCAATTTCCTCAAAAACATTGCGTTTTATAAAAAAAATATCAAGAGACAAAAAAGTTTCTAAATTCAATGTGGCTTTCTAGCTAACTAATAATTTTTAAGAAATTCAAGGGGACCCATGAAAAAGTGTCTTAAGGGGGTTCGCCGCCAAAGAGCATAGCACTATCAGGTTCCACATGTCATAAAACCCGTGTGTACAAAATTTAGTGATTCTCGTGCAACAGGGTTCTCTTATTCTTAGGGGCAGATTCCAGAGGGTTGTAACTCCAAAAGAGGGGGCCACTTGGCAAAAATAAAAAATATGGGTCCCCTAAATTCGTCTTAAGAATCTATGATCAAATTTTCTTGCATTAATTTTGGGACACCCCGTACAGTGGTTTTTGATAGTGCTTCATCGCCAAAAGACGTATTAAGCTCATTGATTGTTGAGATGTCGAAAGTTTTAAAAAATAATGGCATGGAAATGTTCACGACTTAATTCCATCTTTGGTCGAGACGAATTTGTCAAGTCGCTGTAAACAACACAAATTGCACTTGTACGTCAAAAAGGTTCGGAGTAAGTACACCGACAAAAAGTCGAACTTTACGAACGGGACGTCGATTGTCAAATATCAGCACCAGGATCGGCCATTTGCAAAATATAAAAGACAACCCTTGTATTTTTTGATATTCTATACTGTATTGGTAAAAAAAGCTTTAGACCATCTCACCAGTATTAGCAATAAAGACGTCTTCCTCGAATAGTAATTTTTTACTAATTGCGCGTATTTGATCGGGACCAGATTTTATGAAAAATTTAGTTACGGAGGTGTCCGGAAATTGTAAGCAAACAAATTTGGGGGCGATTCTAATCAGAGCAATTAAATATTTAATTTTTTTTTTAATCAAAGCAATAAAATCTAATTTTAAATTTAACAGAACGGTAAATGCATATTTTCTCGAAAATGGTTAATGTAATCTAATCAACTTGAATAAGATTATATTTTTTAAGGTTCTTTGATATTAAACTGTTTAATTGCTTGAAAAATTGCGAATAAAAACAGTTATAGAGGCTACATAATTTTGATTATTTTATACGCACAGTTTTTACCAAAATGTACAAAATATGAAAAAATTGCTTCACTAAAAACAAGTTATTGCCAAACGTTAAAAAAAAAGGATTTTTAAGATGATTTTTAACAATTTACTTTTTTTACGAAAACGCTCCCTTGTGCTACGAATTTCTGGACACCCTGTATATTCCAAAAGTGGCTTCCGACTATCTCTCTAAGTATATAGTATAAATCATTGTGATAAAATTATAATTCTAACGGTTTTATTTGCAATATTTTTATTTGGCTTTAATCTCCACTATGTATTTTTATTTTTAGACTTTACGTTTCTCACTCGTTTAAAAATCAAATGATAGATTATATTTTAGTTTTCCTTGTTGATTGTATTGAGTTTATATGACGTATAGGCCATTATATCGATAGACTGTAGCGTTTTCAATTACGAAACGAGTATCTCGCAGCTATTACTTTTTTAATTTTATTTATTTGAAGTAGTGTAAGGTCCACTTTCCGTGGGTGCAAAACAGAATATAAGTACAAAAATGTCATAGGTTAAAACTGCCAATTTTTACACTTCGAACAGTGTGTTTGTGTAAATTATACCCTTCTCCAGGCATTTAATAAAATATTTTTTATGGACACGTCTATTATTTGTATTAACTATGTCGTGAATTTAACACGTTTTCCAGGAAAAAGTCTCATTCCTCCTGACACATTAGCTGGTTAAACTATAGCTCTTGGGTACCTGGCATATTTCCGACAAAAATGAATATAAAAATCGGAAATTTTAGGGGTGTACTATAGATGGGGAGACCTAAAAGCGCACTTCGGTTCAACTATAAACGGTTCAACATGTAGTTAGTTAACTTATATGTATATTAAAAGATATAATAACTTTTATATTAAAAAGATTAGAAAAATTACCGTTTCAATTTGTGTTTCAGTATCAGTAAATCAGTAAAATATAAAACAAAAAAAACAGTTACAATTCATTTCGATTTTCGACAGTGTGGTAAACATAAACTTGAATCCGAAAGGTACTTTCCATTCAATTACTTTCCCTACCCTTACCAACTTAAACAGTGATGGATCAGTTAAATCCTTCGAGCATATAGCTACTAGAGGCAGCCTTCAATGCTAAATGAGCGAACAGACGTGCGAGAGAGAAAGTAAATGAAACTAGAAGCTATCTCTCTCACTCCGTAAATTTTATTGGTTGAGAATCAGACCCCGTGATTCCCCTCTAGCATCTCACATTACGGAGTGAGAGAGACAGCTTGTAGTTTTAATTGCTTTCTCTCTCGCACGTCTGTTCGCTCATTTAGCATTGAAGGTGAAGGCTGCCTCTATTAGTAGGTATATGCTTAAAGGTGAAATCGCGAATCTAGTTTTTAACCTAAAATTTACCATAAATTAAATTAATTATTCGTTATTTTAATTGCTACTTTGAATATTTTTTAGTAAGTATGTTTACCTAATACTTTTGTTGTCTCTTGTTTCTCAATTTGGCTGATCAAAATAGATTTAAATTTAGGTTGATTCATCACAAGGGCTACATTTAGCCGATAGAATCGATAGGTGCGTTTCGCTTCGCTTCTGTTATTTAAATTTTAGCCAACTCCTAAATAAAGATTTTATATTTACTCATGAATTTTACGAGTCAAACTCGACTTCAGTGACAAGGGGGGTTTTCGTTTTGGCAAAAATAGTACCTATTAACAACTAATATCAGTTCAGAGTAACTCTAAGTTGCTATTAGCAACTGATAGCTACTATTTTTTCCAAATCGAAAGGCCCTAAGAATAACACAGAAAACCTTAAGGTGCATTCAGAATCAATTTGCTAGCCAACTTACACTTCGGCACGAAAGTCTGCACGGATTTGACCATTCAGAATAAAATTCAGACGACACTTGGTACATGCGCATTGGCTTCAACTTAAATCAGCTGTTTCAGCTGTATACTTTAGGTTATATTTATATTTTGTTTGTTTTCAAAATTTTAAATTAAAATGTACAATAATAATCCATAATAATAATTAAAGTGATCCAATTCCAAGCTGCTCCCGAGTTTAGCGACGAATTTTTATTACAGTGTATCTCCAATTACAGACCACTATGATAAATCTGACAGATTATAAAATTGAAAAAAAATGTTGGGCTCACTGAAACGAGCTTCACGAAGAAAATTTTCATAAAATTCATGATTTCTCCGGGCCGTTAGAATTAGTCTTACTCCCCCAAGACCCAGAAATCTTTTAATGGAGTTTTTTTGCTCGAATAGCTGTCTTTTTAAGTAACAACAACAACAACATTGTTACCTGTAAAAGAGGGGATAACAAGTTTCCCATTCATCCATCGTGGTTAATCAAGATAATGGTTAAACTAATTTCAAAATTCCGTCAAATTAAAATTATGTTGACATTTTATTAAAACAATCATATTGCGCATATCCCGTAACCGGTACGGAAGTCGGCACGGACGTCAAAGTTTGCAGCTTGCAAGGTTTCACGCGCACTTCAACTCGTTTGCCAGCTCGAGATTTTATTCTGAACGGCTACATTGAAATGCGAAAGGTAAGCACGCGTGGCCAAGTCAGACTTCGCCCGCGAATTGATTGTGAATGGGGTTTTAGAGTTTAGAGCATATACTACCTTGAAAAATCACGCATACCTTACGGCGACAGTGTAAAGAGAAAAAGATAGATTGGGTACCATCTTTCTCTCTCGTGTAGGCAACTGATTGGCTAACGCAACTCCTTCCTCAACGATTAGAGAGAGAGGATAAGTACCCAAACTATAGCTCTTTCTCTCTACAGCGTCTACACTTTTTAACACGTGAACCGAAGTTACACCTAAAAGTTACATCAATAAAAATTGTAAAATGTAAAATTAAGTTCTTAATAGTACATTGTGTAACGAGTGGGGAAAAGTTGCCAATAGCGCCACGCGGACGTAGTTGACGCACGAGCGAAGCTAGTGCGGAAAGCGCCCAAGTGGCGCTATGGCAACTTTTCCGAACGAGTTGCACATATTTTCTATCACAAGTGCGAGTCGTTATGGGACCTATAGCATAGGGGGTTAGGTGCACCAAAAGTGCTAGATAGTACCAGAGCGTGATGTTATTTTCATAGCGCAACGCTCCAGCCTTGCGCTATGAAAATAACATCACGCTCTGGTACTATCTAGCACTTTTCGTGCACTTAACCCCTACACAGAGCTGGGTAATTCCTGGTGAAAAAGTAATCAGCAATTACAATTCCCTTTTTTTCCTGTAATTGTAATTGTATTTAAGTACTTTTTTTTATTAAAGTAATTTGGAATTGTAATTGCAGCAAAATTGTTATAGGAATTGTAATTTGTAATTATATTATTTGAACTATCGAATTACAAATTACTTCTATAAGTACAAATACTTTTTCCAATTACAATTACTTTTTCTATTAATTATAATTACTTTTAAGATCATGCGTATTGCGTAATTGCGTACAGACTTGCAGACTTCTATTATTTCAGTTGAGGAAAGCCTTGTGCCGCGTGAACAATAATAAGTGATTTGAATTAACCTCAGAATTAACAGAGTACATTTTATTTTATTATAATTATTATTAATTTAGAAAATA